CTTGGTGTTGGTGGATGGAGCGAGACATGATGTCCCAGATGTGCTCAATTGGATTCAGGTCTGGGGAACGGGCGGGCCAGTCCATAACATCAATGCCTTCGTGTTGCAGGAACTGCTGATACACTCCAGCCACATGAGGTCTAGCATTGTCTTGCATTTCTTGCATGTCTTGAGGAACCCAGGGCCAACCGCACCAGCATATGGTGTCACAAGGGGTCTGAGGATCTCATCTCGGTACCTAATGGCAATCAGGCTACCTCTGGCGAGCACATGGAGGGCTGTGCAGCCCTCCAAAGAAATGCCACTCCACACCATTACTGACCCACTGCCAAACCGGCCATGCTGGAACCTGTGAACCTGCTTTCATCTGTGAAGAGCACAGGGCGCCTGTGGCAAATTTGCCAATCTTGGTGTTCTCTGGCACTAGTGGTACTAGACTAGTGTTGGTTTCCTGTAAATGAATGATGCCGTGTGGTATCTGCGAGGCAGTTCCGATGTCCGCAGAGGAAACAAGTCTTAGATTAGACTATAATAATCTGAGGTCATCAAATCCCAGGTTTATCAAAAGCTAAATAGTTTAGCGTTCAACCTGCAGTTGAAAAGCAGCAGATTAGGAGAGTACACAGGGATGGAGAAGAAAAAGAGTGTGAGCTGTCTGCAGACAGACACTCCCATTAATTGAAGTCAAGTTTGGTCCTTTCTTTCCTTCCTTTGTGTCCTGAGGTCAGAGAATATTGGTTAAAACACCAAATGCTGCGTAGTTGCCCTGCTTTTCCCAGACATTCTTAGAAATATTTTGTGGTTGGCAATGAATGTAGGAAGATTTTTTTAAATATTTTTCATCATTGCTCATTTCAGTTATGTTTCTCTTCCATGATGTTAAAAAGGCCAAGTTTACACGAGTATGTACAGATACTGAAATACTGTACATCAGAAATAAGATGGTGCCTGCGGAATTTGTCACAAACTTGTTTAATATATACATGTTTAATAAAATAATTATCTATATATATAATCCTTGTCCTACGCTTAGTGGCCCCGACACTCTTGCTCACTGTCCCTCGCTTGGTTATTATACCCATTTTTATAACAATATATTTGTATATGTATTTATATATATATTTATATTTATCAATATATTTGTTTATATCTATGTTTTTTTTATGTTTTGATGTGGGGTATTAATAGTATATTTCTGGGGGCTGCAACAAATTAATTGGTTTTTAGTTATTTTTAATGGGGAAAATTCGATCGAGACACAAGTGCTGTTGTGGAACGGATTAAACTTGGGGTTGAAATGGCATTTAAAGCTTGAGTTGGTGAAATGAAAACTAATTTTAAACCTAAACTCTTAATTACACATGATCTCTTCCCTGTGATTAAGGATCCCCGTAGATGTGGACCCTCTGTCAGTCTTTGCCTCCCTGTCCCCCGAGGGTGTCCTCATCATCGAAGCCCGACAGACTCCCCCATATCACCTCTTCAGTAATGACGGCTCCCAGACTGGAGAAATGCCGGAGGTGGAGGCCCCCATACTCCAAGAAGCTCCCATGGTCTAATGTCCTCTAAGTTATTGGCTTTTGTCTTCATGTTCTTGAAACCTGGTCTTTACATTGTGTAACATATTGTATAATATGAGATATTCAAGGTCAAATGATCTTCTTGGCATGACTTCTTTTTTCTTCTTTGCTCTTTTAACTGATGAAAATATGACGTTTACACTTTTTTTTAACAATATCGGACTTTTAACATTTTCCTTAAACTTTTCAGTTTTGGGGTCAGTTCGGATGGTCAAATGACAGATAATTTATTTGAGATTTCATTTCTTAATTCATCAACATACCATTTCATTTGCACTTTCAGAAAGTCTAATTGATCACGGACTCTTCTGATTGGTTATTTCAAACCTGAACACCTGCGAGTTATTTTAGGCCACGCCTCAAATACATAGAAGAGAGTTTTTCAAACGTACTTGGAAATATTTAGACCATGGGAACGTCCAGCCTCCATAACACTCCTGGTATGACATGGGTTCCAGCCCTCAGAGATGAGACATGTTCTGGTGTGTATTAACATAAATCATAAGTGAAGATACTGGCTTAAACTAGCATGATGGGGCTAAAGGAACACTCAACGAGGGAGAGGCCATTATAAAACATTTACAGTTTCACCTACTAGATTAGTAACACAAATGTTTCAATGAATCCCTTTTGTTCTCAGAAATATCCCTAAACAAATATTCACAAAAAAGTATCAGTAACTGATGAGTTTTGATTAAAACAAAAAAAAAAACTACATTTTTAAATTAGTGTTTGTGTGACCTGGAGCTACAGTGTATATCATTAAGGACTGATCTCAGACCAGCTGGTTTGGTAGACATTTAACTTCCATCACGTCATGTTTCCAAGATGCGGAAGATCATAAACTTTCACCTGAACAGAGAATCTTAGCTAAATATTGTCAACGCAGTTAACTGCAAAAACCCAAATTGGTGACATCAGTGGAGTGAATTGTGTCTATTAAAGTCTGTCGTACATACACTTAAATTTATTTTGATTATTAAACCAAATCTCCAAACCTGACAATATGTGTTTTTTTTTTTTATTTGAACAGTTTGAAGAATGATAGCATGATTGTTGTGGTAGACTATCGAAAATTGTGTTTCCTGTTCTCTTTTTTCTTGATGTCTTTGTAGTGGATAAAGCAGTAATAATAATGATAATAAATCAGCCACAAAATCTGTTTGTGTTTCAATACCTCTGTGTCTTGTATTCAGAGCTGGGTAAACAACAGGAATCCAAGAACTGTGGCTTTGTTGTTGGCGTGTTTGGTGCTGCTGTACTGCACACACTCTGGAAGGTTCCAGAGGTTCTGCGTGTGGATGGACAAAGTTGTTCAGTTAAGTTGTATTTTACATACCTGATGTCTTTATTGGAATATTAAAAAAAAAAAAAACAACCTTAGAAACATATTTTGACTTTGGAAGCTTCAACCTTAGCATTAGACCAACAAACACCTCTGAGAGTAAAGTTATTTCCGCTGATTTGAACTTTTTAGGGCCCAGGTGGTCTCTCTGTGAATGTCAGAAGTATCAGTATCAGATTATCAGATCAGTGATTATCGCTTTTTTTATAAGTATTCCTGTCATTTCTGTAGTATAATGAGGTTTCAAGCCAAATTCTGTGACATCACCACTGATTTTATTTAAACCTGAATCAGGGAGCAGCCATTTTACATCTGCCTCGGTTTTAGAAACAGCCAGAGGGGGAGCTGTAGGACACTCGTCTCCAGAAGATGGTTGTTCTGTTCAAACAAAAATATTTACAATGAAAATCAAGACTATAAAATAATAAATAAATAAATAAATGACTCTTGGGACATGTGTCTTAAACTAGACAGGAAAAGAAGCCATCATGCCACAGTTCTATGAAACGACTGCCCCCGCTGGTCAACAATGGTATTGCAGCTAAAATTGCATTTCAATGCAGCTTCTTGAAGAGAGAAAGTCCATCATTTGTGTAGAGACTGAATTTGATTTTATGGCTATTTTTATCACTTGAACTGTCTCAAAGTGGAGTTACACGTTAACAGCTGCCATCACCATTACTCTGATGGGAAACTGCTGTTTAAAATTCCTAACAAAATTCCTAAGGAATATCCTTAATCGGAGGTCCTCTTAGCCCAGGTGCTAACAGCTTTATTCCTGCAGCATGACCGGCTTATGTTGACTATTGCTAGCACAATTACTGGCACAATGTAAAACCAAAAATACCTGCATAACATAGTCACTTCCTGCTTCCTTTAATCTTGTTTTTTTAGTGACAGCACTAAAATAAACACACCAGCATGTTTTCCTTTTATTAGACCTAAAGCCAAGCCAAGCTGTGCAGGTTGTTGATATCAGTAGCTGATGAGTGCAGCATCTCAGCCAGACCTCGTTATCTGTTTACTCCGTGTGTTCGTCCTTGATGTCAGACGCCTCCTGCTCCTAGCTGGAGACCTCACTCTCTGGACTTTTAACCACCTCCTGCTCCTCTGGTGCGATCTCTGCAGCAGCCTCACCGGAGATATATACCTGGGTCTAATTCGGGCAGGGTTTCTTCCTTGTGTGTTTGTTCACATGTTGTTTTGTCAGTTTCCTCCATCTCCACCTGTTTGTGGACAAATATAAAGATGTACTTTTTAGGCATCAGTATGATTTCATTAGTACCATACCATATAAAACCCTACAATTCCATACCATACCATATAAAACCCTATTATTTCATACCATACCATACCATACGAAACCGTACCATACCATACCATACCGTATAAAGCACTACCATACCATACCATACCATACGAAATCGTACCATACCATACCTTACTATACCACACCATATTAAACCATACTATTCCATACCATACCGAAGATGAGATAGTAGATGAACCTGTATGACTTTTGTGCTCTTCTTTGAAACTGTTAAAAATCAGGCAACCACATTCTCAACATTATGTATTATTCATTTTAGGGACTGAGGCAATTGCCTGTTTTTTCTCTTATATTTCATCAAAATGTTTAGCTTCATTTTAAAACTCGGTGAATAGAAAATGTAGGAGAGAACGACTTTTTTTAATAAACGACGTTTATTTTGTTTTTTTAAAAACAACCTCATATCCTCCTCTCAGATAAAGATAAAGAAATGTTGTTTGTGATTATTGGAATCAGTCTTCTTATCTACCTTGATGGGAATGACAGTGACGGTCGGAACCGACTCTTCTTGAATCGGCGCTTCCACAGTCAGGATTCCATCAGCAGAAAGTGTGGCTGTGATATCTGCTGTAACTATTTCACCAGCGAGCCTGAAAGTGGCAGAGTGACATTTTGTGGTTTCACTACACAGAACAAACACCAAATTCTGCAAACATTGCTAATGT